TCTAATTTTCTGAGATTGTGGATTTGGGGTTTTTGTGAGCTGTAAGCCATAATCATCACAGTTATGACACATCACGGCTTGAACTATCTTGCTTTGCATGTAATGAGTCTATCTCATATATTAGGTTCACCTTTTAAGTTGCATTACTGAAATAAATGAACTTTTGCATGATATTCTAATTTTTCGAGTTTCACCTGTATATTCTATTTTGTGACTACATTTCTATCAAACTCAGTTTAGTCCTTTCTTTTCAATCTGCTTTCACAGCTGGCTGGCAGAACAAACATTTCTAGTTGAAAGTGTTGAATATGTGTCTAATGCCATTATACAATGGCAATTTCCAATATTTGCCAAATAAAAATGAATTATAATTAGTGTGATGTGTGGTTCTATTCAATTGTGATTCATAATAGACTTGATCATATTACAGTTTTCTTTCTACAATCCATTCCTCACCAAGGCATCTTGGGTTTTTTGGAAAACCAAAAACCAAATATGAAATTTAAGAGTCACCACTTCATCAAATTAAAAACTGTTTTAAACTGTTAAAAAAGACACTGGAGACCTCAGGGGATATATACCAAGTTAGATTTAAATTTCTGTATGTTCAATTGTTGTGAGTTAAATTCCTAGAAAGATCGCCAATGGCCATGGGTCATATACAAGAGATCACACTAAATATGATCCATTGGAAAAGTAAGTAGAAACCCACTCCCATGAAAGAGAGTAAATAAACATTCACAATCAGTGTAAACAGTCACTACAGAATGTGAACCCCCACCCCAGGCTAGAAGGTATCCAACAAAATAGCAAATGACAACGACATGTAGCATTGGTGCTCATCATGTGGGTGGATTAAGGCACATGGCACATTGGTTTTAACATTGGTTTTAACATTGGCACATTGATGTTAAAAAGGTATATAGGATTCAGAATCATAAACCAAGTATGCCTAATATTGTCACAATAGAAATATCAATACTGAACACTGGCATTCTGTAAATCAGCACTCTGAAACAAATACAATGGTATTTTTCTTTCAAAAATTATAGCTAGTGACATACTTGGAGATAAAGGTGAAAAAAAATCCCATGTTCAATGAATGCAGAATGTATTTATGTGTATACCAGTATTAGAAAATCAAACAGGGAAATACATGTGAACATTTCAATACAACATCTAGCAATCTTTGGGAAGAATCCTCCCATTTTGTCAAACCAGAGATTATAAGAATCAAAGGCTTACACTTTCTGACTAATAAAGACTTGAATATAGTTTCAAAATTTATACTTGGATGTTGATAAGAAGCTACCTAAAATGCTTTGGAGTTTGTTGCTGTTTTACAAGCAATGGTATCCCACGAAATACTATTTCTGAAATACTGAAGAAAACTTAGTAACAAAGTTAGAAACTTGCAAACAAGTTAATCCTCCTTCTCCAGAAAAACGTTGCAACATCCAAAAATGTTTTCTAATGACAAATCCATAGAATCAAAACACCACACACACAACTAGAGAAAGCAATTGTTTCAGTACCCAGTCAACTTCCTCTGAAAAACAATGTAACAAAATGTTTCACTGCAACACTGAGTTTTCTGAAATTAGAGAGAGAAAAAAACAATGTTTACTCTCAAAAACTCCACCCAGTCACTGTGAAGCTTAAGAAAACAACAGATTTCAGAATCATAATTGCAGGATCTTGATATTCTAAAATGCATGTTTTATTTTCGCATGCTCTCAGAGAGCATTTTAGTTTGAAAAAATATCACAAAATTTTTCTAACTAGGGAACACCAATGATTAAACCAAAACAAATAGCATGTTAACATTCCAGATTAGTACAGAAATTAGGCTTTAGCTTTTTTGTGAACTTCTCTATAAAAATAAGTAGGCTGACATTTGTGATCCAGTTTTTAAGAATCTGAAGTTTAAATTCCCAGAAACCGTTAGCTCGCAACCTCTTCTTAAAACTAGTATATTCAGGATGAGTTGCAACAACTCATTTGGCCAGAAGAGATAAGAAAATTACAGCACACCATAGTTGAGCATCCAATTGGGAAAGCTGGCTGACATTATTCTTTTCAGATGATGAAATCATATTTTATGATTACTCTGAAACAACACCATGATATTCCTCTTTTAACACTGTTGATGTTTCCTGACTTTCATAGTATAATTCATAATGTTCACAACTAATAGATATTACAGGATTCTGCATTAGTTCAAGGCTGTTTCAGATTTTGATCAAAAGCGCAGGCAAATCAACTTAAAATAATATTCCTGATGAAAGTATTTATCAAAACCTGCTTATAACAGGTTGGGACACAGAATCACCACTGATTATTCTAGGTCACCTGCCAATATTTACAGATTTTACTATGCCAGAACATAGTA